AATTTCGACTATGTTGTATTCACTTAAACTAAATGCAAAATAACTTCAGCTAACTTGCAGTTTTGATGCTAACAATTATGACGTTCTATGTAGACACATATATTATTTATTATTTTGAGGATAAAAAATAAATAATAGATACAATAAATTACTAGCGAATGCAGAGTTCGGTCCGGTTTTATAGTCAGTTAAAGATTTAATTCCGATCATCTTACAAACAGGGTTACATATACATATATTATAATTTAACTATTGGGAAATTCCTGACTCAGAGGAACTATCAACTCTACATTGCGACCCTAGGTTTACTTAGCACATTACATGCAATACATATTGGGCAACCGCTGACTTTGCGGAGTCACCAGGTCGTCGCTGCACGAGCAACCTCAATTCACTCTCGGAGACAGCACTCTCGACAATATAAATTCAGGTTTAAACAATAAAAGACACTTAAATTTTTGACCAAGCATTATTTTTACATGACAAAAGTGGCAAACGAGTAGGCGTACCTGATGTATATACTAACTATTGCCCATAGTCATCATAGCATAGTCTTGCGGATGGGTTGACACATTTGATTGGGGAAGAGGGAGATGAAAGAGTGGGAAAAGCTAAAGAGCACGTAATGACGAGAAAAGGGAAAGGATAAGCGGCTCTCTCACTCGTCGGAAAAACGCAGACGTATAAGACGAAGAAGACTACTTCACGCCGATTTTTTGTGACATGGTGACACTTCCCCGGTCGAGCCAGCACACGTTCAAGCTGCAGTAGTTTGAACACTGCTTGGCTCTACGGCCTAAAAAAAGAGCATTGCTTATATTGTCTATTAGAATATGTTTTAGTTGTAACTTTTAATTGTAAATATATTATAATAAAACTTTGGTTTTTTAAGTCGTCCGATTGCCATTTACACAAATCACACACTTTGGCATACAAAATATTGGTAGGAATTATTAAACTGAAACAATTTGTTTATTTCACCAAGTTTCTTAATCTTAACCAAAAGTTTTAAATGTGGATACCTGATGTTAAAAAAGGATCACTTTTATGGTTATTTTCAGATAGGTTATGATTATTTTGCAATATTGCGAAAATATGAGCAATTCTGATGAACTTCGAGTTTATTAAAAATACAGCCTTGCCTTCACTAGCGCTACGTTAACGAATACAACAGTATCCTTATAAAACCATAATATTAAACTCTCCTCAAAAACCTTATAACATTCGCGTTTTTATCTTATCATATTGTAAAATTTTAGTTTCTGTTATTTACTTAAATACTAAAAAATATATAAATATAATTACATAAAATGACGACAATGTTAGTCAATCAATTGGAGACAAATGAAAATTTGTATAAAAATAAATATTGTAAATAATAAGTAGCATAATCTAGTGAGTCTTACTATAATTTTAACTTATATACCTGCGATAAGGCTTAGTTGAAGTCAACTTTAATTAAAATAACAGTAACTAAATGCAACTGCTTCCATTAAGGTGAGACACCGAAATTAAAGTCATTTTCTTAAGAATGAACAGAATGCAATGGAACATAAATACTATGAAAATTTGTAGGGAAGATATCTTTTGAAAGCGCTTTATAAGTTGCAGAGTAATGACAATTTTACTTATTATCAAATTGATTCACAATTCTCTGTTAATATTTTTATATACATTTGTATTAATTCAATAATGGAAAGGTAATATAAAATATTGGTAATAGTAATAAAGGGTTAGATAAATCTTGTTTTCAGTCGCATCTGTGTTTTTATTGATCTGTTAAAGTTTTCCTATCGTTAATTTGATCTCTTCTCTCTCACTATCTCAAATTGAATTGAAACGAACTATTGAAAAATGGATTTTATCTTTAATTTACATATAAAAATGCAATGAATTCAATGTCAACGATTCTTATTGAATTTTCCTTATTTCTAAGATCTCATTTGTCAATAAAGTTTTATTACTAGTGTAGTGATTGCTATACATTATAAAAAAATATATTTGAGTATCATTATCAATAATATTTCCAGTTATTCCATATAAACTGTAAATACATATACTTTGATTATTTTTTCAAGTTTCGACTTATATCTTTTTCAATGTTTTATTTCTAACCACATATTTAAACAAAAAGTTGTTCTGAAAAAATAAGGTATGGTATTTATGAACAAAATTTAGAAGTTATATAACTTTGAAGAATGACGTAAATTTTTGTTTACTTTTACGGTAATAATATAACAGAGTGACATTGTTTAAACATCATAAATAATAGATACATATTATAATAAAATACTACACAACTAATAAACTTTGTTCGTCTTCATGTTAATAAAACAAGATTCCAATAATGTTAAAATCATACCTATTAATTTCTCGAGACGTTATTTAAGCCTACAAAAATACTAATCATTATTGATCTAAGATCTTTATGAATCTAATATTAAAACAAAAACTTTTGGAAAGTTTAGAAGGTATACTTTTCTATAAAATATGAAATGTAATATGTTTATTGTAAAGTAAAACTTTACAGTGGCATTTGTCAAATCATATAAATTCTATTTTTAACCGATTTCATAAACAAGAAGTTATGAAATCAATTCCAAGTTTACATTTTAATAAATCGAGAATATTCGATCGGCACAGTTTTTGATGTACATGTTTTTCATTACATTTATATTTTCCAGTTTCTATTTATAGTTATATATATTATTTAATCTAGATGACACTCCTTATGAGTTTGACAACAATATCTGATGTTTTGTGAGTTTGTTTGTAACGTCATAACCCTCAAATAGGTCAAACTATTTAGATTCGTTTTTTTCATTCGAATACCAGTTTCATTTTGATACTTCTTAGATATGTTTTATTAACACCAGTTTCACAGAGTAAGAGTTTCAACTCTACAAAATGATGCGGTACCAAAAATTTAAGTTAAGTGTTTCACGTGTGTCAATATGAAATTAAATCACCTGATCACGTAGGGATTATTTTTATTAAATTATTATTAATTAATTAAGATCTTTAATTTTCATTATAAATTATTATTTTATTTATATAAAAAAATATTATACATGTTAAGTATGCCTTGTAAAAATTTACTTTTCTCCAAAACTTTCACTTTTTCAAACTTTTGTTTCATTGACGCCGTTAAAATTGATGTGGAATTAAATTCGTCCTCATGAAAACATGTCATAGTGTCCAAAAAAGATGTCATGCGACTAAGCCAATTAAAAGTAAGAAATTCAACTGAGCGTTTTGAAACTGAGGAAATTCCGCCTTAACCGTACCCGATACACCTCCTATGGTTTACCCACTTAAGCATACAGCATGACACAGAAACTATGATAAGACATCCGGATTACTTGTTTATTTTGTGTCTCTAAAGATAGATAACTAAAACCAATATTTCCTTTAGTCAGCTGAAATACAAAATCAAAAAAGCATCTGATATAAAACCTCTGGAAGAAACTTACACTAAATTTCGGATATAATTTACTTTTAATTATTGGTGGTACCAATGGTGTATACGTATTAAAAGGTTTATCCTCAACTATGGTTCTATAAGCATAACTTTGAAAACATTATTCTACTAAAGTAGTTACAAGCTCTTAACTTACGTGGTGATTTGCATAGTAACCAGACAAAAGCAAGTTGTCGTTCTAGAAAGTGCTTGCAATGATTTCGACTCTATAAGTTAGGGTACACCCTACAGACTACTCTATCTGTGCTACAGCACAAGGCTACATACTACATCCACTTTTATATAATGTATATGTATATAACATATTTTAATATATTCATACATATATGTGTACTTCATTCTGGTTTTCTCATCTTTATACTTGGTATAATATTGTTTTTATACATTAAATCTCCTCCTGGCTGCCTCATACTTCAATTATGTGAAAAATATTGCGATATTAATAGAATTTTACTACCAATTAATACAAAATATTGAAGCAACTGCGTAGTAACACACACACACACCCACAAACAAAAAAACGCGTTGGTACGTGTTTGTAAAATGTAATTTTCTGTTGATGTTAGTTTTTCCTAGTTTAAAATAAACACCGTTAACATAAAAATGTAATATTGTAAAGAATCATTTAAATAAGCCATATAACTACCTTATACAATTTGAATATGTGAGTAATTAGCTATAAGATCCAGAGATAAAAACCTTAAAAGGTTTATCTTGTATTCAGCGTATTAAACCTGTTATTTGGGTATAACGAATTAATGTAAAGATTAATAAGGATATGCCGATTCTTATAACTGCGAATCACAAATAAATAAATAAAACGATCCGTAAACGAAATCTGCATTAAGTGGAATTGTGAATATGATTAAATAAATATATTATTTAAATAGGCTTACCCCTTTTTTTTATATCAAATATGTTAAATCCATTCCATTAATTCTTTCGTTACATTTAAAAGAGTGACAAATTGTCCCGCATATATGTATATAAGAGATGATATAAAAGGTCACATATAGATGATTTTTGTTTTAGATCAGACGCAATGTCTGTATTACATATCCTTGTAGTGACTTTTTCAATCACAAGTGCTCATTTTATGACTTTTAATATTAAGGAAAATAATTATGCCCTTGCTAATTGTATACTTGGTGTATCTGATATAAGAAAATTCTCAAAAAAAACTGTTGTGCTTTATGAAGCTGATGAACAGAATTCAACATTCTACGAAGAATTAATCAGTTTAATCGTGGATAAACAGTTACCACACATTGTTACAAATGATTTGAAAGAATTATATAACACAGATCGAAATTACACAGACGATATCTTGGTTGTAATCTATCATAAATCTTGTAATATTCTAGATATTCCTATAAATAAAGAAATGAAATATCTCGTTGTTGTGGAAGAAAGTGTTTTAGAATCACAGTGTTTTGACAATTTCATGAAAAGCTTATTTAAAGTAAGAACAAATGATGTAACATTTATCACCAGAGATAAATATAATTTTATTACAGGAATGCCTCATTGGAATGAACATATTTGTGATTTAGATGAGAATGTTACAATGAAGAATATAAATACATGTATTAATGGGTCTTTAGATAAAAATGATGAAAAATTCATCTTTCCTTCTAAACATCTAGATAATCTTAAGCTGTGTAAGTTTAATGTTGGAATGGCAACACTTTTTCCATACTCAGAGATAGAACATAAAGAGTCACTAAACACTTTAGATCGTTTAGAAGAGAACGAAATATTTGGATCTGATTTAGAAATCATGAAGATAATGGCGAAAAAATTTAATGCTACTCTTGAAATGTTTTACATCAAACGGAGTGAAGAGAACGCTTTGTTACAAAAGGATTACGTTAAATACTTGCTGAATGGTAGCCTTGATGCGTGTGCTGGAGGACTTTATAATATATATGGAGATGTTGTAGCCTATTCCGGAATATATACTCGGCAGTCAGTTATTTGGATCTATACTGTAGAACGAGAAAAGAGATCTTGGCAAGCCTTATTGAGAAAAACTGGTGGCCTCTATATATTTCTAATATTTTTGGCGTCTTATTCCATAATATGGAAATTGTTTTGTCAATTTGACGGCCGTGCAGTTTCATTGAGCAATACCATTCTCTATAGTTTTGGTGCACTTGTTGGTACAACGTCTTTACTAGACGCGATGTCCTTGAAACAGAAGATTCTGAACTTATCATACCTCATACTGTGTTTGCATCTATCTTCTTACATAAGTACTCAAATGTATTATTATCTAACAGTTGAGAATCCGCCACAAACGATAAAAACAATAGACGAACTTGCTATATCCGACAGAACCCCATACTTAGTCCCAGGAAAAAAATATTTTTTAAATAATGAGAAATATATAGCATTTGCAAACACATCGCGTGATTGCGAGGATTTTCTAGATTGTGAGAGATCAGTTCTGAATAACAGAGGTTCAACACTTATCTTAGATGGATTTTTACAACCCTTTCAGTCATTAACTGCCGTTAAAGATGAATCAAGGATAATGAGAGTGGACGAAGATGTCCTGGTGATTTATCACGAAATGATTATGAGAAAAGATAGTTCTATGGTAAACAAATTTCACAATATTATACAAAGTCTTTTTGAAGCTGGTATTTGTGATAAATTATATAAAGAAGCTATCGGGGTGACTATTGTAGATAGAGCTAATATTGCAGTGAAAAATATTCTGTCCTATTCGTATAGCTGCTCTGCGGGATGTAAAATAACTTGGTTGCAATTGGCGGGATCTTTTTATCTCTGGATGATTGGATGTAGCCTGTCAATTTGCTGTTTTATTGTAGAAATACTCACTAAGAAGCAGATATAAATTTTGCTTTTCATAAACATACATATGTGTGAAAAAGAATGCACACTTAAACATTATCAAGATAAATTTCAATAGTACTACTTACATTGTGTTGTTTTGTTTTATTCAATGATTTTATAACTAAAAGCATCAATAAGTTTAAAAATATATTTTAATAAAACAGTAACAATTATTTTTAAATAGGCAAAAACATAATAAGCAATTCTTAAGAGCATGGTTATATTGTAAGTGTTTAGGTACTTTATTTTATTTTAGTAACGTAATGTTTACTTTATGTTGATTGTTTAGTACTATGTTACGTACTCGCTACATATATATAAAGAAAAAAAATGAACATCGCCGGGGCAACATCTTTGTATCGGTAAAATATCCTATAACGAGTGACGCCGCTGACTCCGCGGAGCCAACACTAAGCCGTGTAAACCAGAAGATTCTACATACCACACAAGCAATAGAATGCCGTTGTCATCCTAACATCGGGGCAATCATGTAGTCTTAGTTATAGGTTATAAGTTTTAATATGTACTTAATTCGTGTTTTAATATACTTATAAGTATGTTTCGTAGTTTTCCTGAAACCTCCGGGTACCACCCTATAAAATTACTAGTTTAAACTTAAATATTATGATGTGTCTATTATTATTACAACGTATCACATACAAATATTCTTAATTCTTAAATGCAATTAAATTGATTAAGTATGTAGTTAACTCTTCCGAGTTTTACAATAATTTTCCTTTGTTAATAAGGTACCAATTGCAGTAATTAAATATGTGCTAATTTTTAAATACCTATAACTCAATAATGAGACCGATTTTTTTGTTTTTCATTCATTTGTTCTTCTCCTTCTCTAATATTTACAATGAGAAATACTTTGAAATGTTATTACGGTGTGATAAGGTTGCTGTATGTAGAACCATCCAAATTGTGTGGTTAACTCAAGACATCTTTTCAAGATGTTGCTTTACCTTCTGGAACTAGATTGCTTCACCTCTATATAAATCGTCCCTTAACAACATCGCTCAAGTCGAAAATTGGAGGTTTTTACACTTTAATGCTTTCTTTATTTCTTAGCCGCTAACTAGTGTATGTATTAAGTAGAAATAGAAAAAAATACAGATAGTTGAAAGTATACAGTTTTTTTCGTCTCCTGTAGAGTTTTAAGTTGGTAAAAACGGTGTAAGTTAAGGGACGAAATTGGAAAAATTTATTTTAAGGATACTAACTTCACAACAAGAACGTAAAAAATGAAAGGATTCCTATCAATAGGCTAATTATATGAAAAAAATTAAGTATGCAAACAAAGACAGTATTTATGGTAAATTTCAATGTACACAAATTTTTTGCTAGTTTATTTATTGTTGAATAGATTGAGTTTTTAAAAATAACTTAAAGAGTAATAAGATGCATAGTTACTTAATTACTCCTACGGAATAAATTTCAGTTGATGAATTCCATATACGTCAATGGAGTAGCAAGGGGGGTCATTGATGTCCCCGTTTTTGCTGACATATAGATAGAAAACTTCCACGACCGAAGTATGCCTTTTAGAACCTGGATATTTAGACTCTTGCGGGGCAAATTCAGTGAGTTTATCCTATCTTTTATTTTTTGGCACGTCACCACAAGGCCCTTCCTTTAACTGATGTTCAATGATACAGAAAATGTATATGGAAGCCATTGATTGGTGTCACCACTAGGGTATTCGTATTATCCTGATAATAAATAATTTTATATTCATTTATTTGGCCAGATTCTTTCATTTATAAATCTATTATTTCTGATGTATTGTAGATGGGAATTTATTTACTTTTGAAATATGTTTCTAAAATTAAACCGTAAAGTGGAAAAATATGTGACAATATAAAAGTATGAGAATAAACCGGGTAAAAAATGTGTACATTAAAGAAATTGTTTTATCGTAAATATTGGGAAACTGAGCATTAAATGTAATGGAGCTATTTTCAATTGTGAGCAAACTATGTGATAAGCCACGTTTTTTATTTATTAGAATTGAAATCTTTCAACTCCAGCACAATTTCTATAACATGTTACTTTATATACAGTATGTGCTACTGTTTATTGCTTGTAAGTGTGAAGATTATTATATATTCATATACTACAGTATAGTAAATAAAATCCAAAGGAATAAGATTTAAAATATTATAGTATTCAAGCCGCTGAGGCTTGGATACTATCGGATCGGTAATAATTTAATAAGAAGATATAATCTTCTTATCATCTAATTATATTTTTTAATGATTAACTGTGGGTTAATAAAATTATTTATTACTTAATAATCCATAACTTAATCAGTCAATAAGTATCATATAAGGATCGTTGTATACAAACTGATAATAATTAACCATTTCCTTTGTTGTTTAGATATCCTATTTCAATATGTGGACAGCGCAGTACCTATTGATATAGAAATATACACAGGTAAAGTTGAAGCAGCGGCTAAAGAGCCAAAATTCTTTACAATGGTTCCAGATAAAAAGCCGTTGATCTCCAGGCGTCAGGTATACTGTTTCAATGTTCTCATTATAATAAGGCTAATAATTTACTTATGAGTATTTACGTGTTTGAAGATTTTTCTCAAAATTTTTTCAGAGTGGTGAAGTGGAAAATTTTAGAGAGGATGATATGAATGTAGCGGTTGAGACAACAACAAGCAAGCAATAACAAGGATCTGTAATTGAGAAATAATTACTATTAACACATGTATTACTTACTATAAATGTAACCAAATTAAATAACTGGAAATTTTACAGTCACTAAAATATATAATCCCTACTAATATTATAAATGTGAAAGTAACTCTGTCTGTCTGTCTGTCTGTTACGCTTTCACGCTTAAACCACTGAACTAATTGTAATGAAATGTGGTACAAAAATAGAGTTGACCTTGAGAAAGAACATAGGATAGTTTTTATCTTAGAATTTTGAAAGGTTCTCTTGAAAACGCGATCTAACCGAACTCCACGCAGGCGAAGCTGCGGGCGGAAAGCTAGTATATCGTAAAGAGATATTTTCTTCAAGAAATATATGATACGAAAGCACTTCTAAGGACTTAAATGTAATGAATTAAAACTTCTGAGATGTTCTCTTGGAAGTCGACAAATATGTATATAGTATTGAAAATATTTTCAACGTCTAATATTTGCGCACGACTAATGTTTTATACAAATATAAAACATTAGTCGTTTATTTCCATTCAAAAATGGAAGTAAATTTTTTAAATAATATTAATTTTATGTAGGTTCGAATATATAAATCACAGTACATTTAACTGCTTATCTTATTAATACAATAATAATTTTATTACTATTTATTTTTAATTAGACATTGTTATACGCGTAATTGTCAAGTAATACTACTTGTACTATTACTTAAATTTTATTTTTTCTTACAAAAATACAGATGTGAAGTATTTTATTCACGTTAAAATTAATGAAATAAAAAAGAAGTTTATTGTCTTAAATCAATTCTCATGCTCATATTAATAAAAATTCATTTAAATATAATATCCTGATACAAAATGTTTTATGCTCTTAAGTGTGAATATAGCACAAGATAAACAAGAATCAGTATATTAGTAAAGGCTCTTCAGAATTCTCATCTAGCTTAACTTTCATTCATGTGACAATGAGCAAGAAGTAAGCAATTTTATATGAATAAAATGCTATATATACAAGCGCTTGTACTTAAACAATTGTCTGTACAAACATAATTCGTCAATTCAATTCTAGCGTAACAATGCAGATTTCTAATTTTATATTATTAAGAATGAAACGAACAAATGGACTATCTTTTAGTAAGTGACACGATGACATGAACATTTTGTTTTATTTACACAGATTTCTGTTTCATTTACATGTTAACTCGAATCTTAAACTATGTTTTATCATAGTTCTTTCAGAAAATATCTTAGGATAATCTTACGTCTGATAATGAGATCTAAGACTCTCGGGAGTATTCATTTAAATGGAACTAATATTAACGTATTACTACGCGTATTTTATTATTTTTAAAATCTACATAATCCCGACGTTTTAGTTACTTTGCAGTAACATGCAACTTTTACGTGTTCACGGGCAGAAGAGATTTTAATCTTAAATCTGGCACAAAATTGCATGCCGAAAATGCATCCTCGCATGTAGCTACTTATTGCATTATTATCCTTCCTTACTTCAAAGTGCGATGATTGAACCGTGTAAGTAGCTCTTTTCCCACTTTAAACAGAATGTACAGCACGGGACAGGAGAGTACCCTTAGAGAGTATAAAGATGTTAATCCGGATTTTTTTTACATTAAGTTAGTAAAAGATATGCTCTATTCTGTACCTGCTTTAATACAGGTATGGTAACTGGCTTCTATATTATTGTCACCGTTAAGAGAAGTAAGGTCAGTGTGGTCGTTTTAGGAATTATTAAGATGTATATAAGGACTCAAATATAACTCCTTTAAAAGTAGCAAGAAAGAGAACTTTATGCTAGAATGTCAGAAATTAAGATAATTATAATGAGACTTAAGGAAAACAAGGTAAATAGAGTAAAAAAAAAATGTGTTTATAATCTATAAAATAACACAATTTTATATACATTTATGTTACACAAACATGTAGCTTAGAAAGACTTTATTTTTTTATTTTTTTTAAGATTCACTTTCAGTAAATTCGTATTAAATAAAGATCTATTAAGGCGAGATCAAGAAATTAATCTCATTTTATCCCAAATAAAAAGATTGCAATGGATCGTAAACATTATCAGAAGTAAATGAATGAAGAAGTTTCAGGAGCGCCGTAAAAGATATAAAGAAATAGTAGTAGTAATAGTGCTGGTAAAGATTTAGAGATTGCACGGATTCAAGTTAGTATATTAATAATAGTGAATATAAATTTCTAATGTTTATATGTTGAAGGATGAATTCTATTTATAAGTAGATGAATGCAATGGGTTCTACGGTTTACCTCGTTGTCGCTGACATATTCATGAAAGTCTTCGACGCACGAGTTTCTTGTTCTTTCCAATAACACTTTTCATATATAGACATTGCATCTTCAAAATATTTTATAAAAATAAAAAAAACTGTTTTTATTAACCTTTGATTTTAAATAAACAGCGTGTGATCAAACAATAGACCAACCTAGCCACTACATCTAGTTTAACAAATCACAGATCTTTACTAGTGAAGACAAGCATATAAAAAAACTTAATTTCCATAGAGAAGATGGCATGCAACTAACACTTGGGATCTCCTTATCAAAAATATGAAATCCTATGTCTGTTACTTCACCTCAAGACATAATAAGTGCCTTTTGAGTGAGTCCGGATCAGTACGGTAGGAAATTAAGAAATCGGAGGAGGTGGATGACAAATAACAAGACTGACTGATAGACACTTTCACCTCGTCTTCCGTGTTCAGGGTTAATGAAGAGATCATAAAACAGTAAAATAAGCGTAGCATCCGATAATCTTAGTTGTATTTAAAAGAAAAAGGTTTAAATACCGTTTAAACTATTTAACGAAAATTTTGTTTTAAATAGTTTGAATCTGTAAAAAAAACATTATACTTGTATTGAGGTTTCCTAAAACCACACTGTACTATTTATTTTGCTGTATATATTTGTATTTTTAATGCTCTCAACAATACAAATGTATTGGCATAGTTACAATGTTAACTAAATTATTTTAGTCCCTGCATGTTTGCACAAACCAATTTAATTTCAATTGTTTGTGTTTATTATACGATGGGTCGTATTTCGAAATTAATCGTTATAAAAGTTTTATTTTCAGAAACATACATTTCCCATTCAATAGCGTACCAAATTTTCATTCGAAAAATACTCGTATCTTTATTGTACGCTATAAATAACTTAATTAATCATAATATATACCTGTCAATATAATTTTTTGAATAAGCATAAAATTAAATTTACCGCACAAATATATTGGTTAAATAAATCCAGACTGGAAAATCGGAGCGAAATATTTTCAATTGTGAATTAAATTTACTGATAAGTTTCGCCTCGTTTTAATTTGCGAGTTTAATAACATTTCTTTGTTTTCATTGTTATATCTTTCTTAACATTTCGTGAAATTTAAAATGCAAGTTTTATTAGTTGAAATATTCTTCATTTATAATTTTGATCTTAGCCTCATAGATTAAAATCGTTTGAGAAATATATACGGGATAAATGTGCCAACTTTAAGTATTAATTTTAAATACGCGATAACTTTAATGCCAACTTCACATACAAATTTGAATAACTTTAATAAACAATACAATCGTCTATACTTTCTTTATTAATATCGTAGATACAAAATATTGTCATTTTTAGGTCTAACGTTTCTCTGACGGTACCATGCTCAGTCTTGGCAATTATATTAAATGGGGTGCTTTGTCTAAGTAGATTTTAGAGAAATGTTTTCGAAGAGTTTTAATAAGGTTGTAAATACGAATACAGAACTTTTAACGCATAAGACATAATTTAGTCTTCTTTAAATAAATTAGTAACAACTTATATACAAATACGATTTACATTTTCGGTATCATTACAATTTACGACAACTAACTGAGTTTTTGGACATAGCACCTCTTTCACCACCCTGGAGTAAAGTATCCAATAAACTAATTGCTAGTTAAAGTCACCAGTAACTGCACTTCTCAATTTGACATCGTTCCAGTAACACTAATCGTATGATTAATCTGACCCGTAACTTACTTGGCATATCATCTACCAATTAGAGTGTTTACTGGACAGTAAAATTAAATGATACACTTTAGATTCATGTATTATATTTGTTGTTTAAAAATTAATTTTATTGATCATGGAATAATAAGAATCTTCTATGCTGCAACGAATGACCAAGATTCGTGTATTTTATTTGTATCATATTTTTTGCAATCCTTTTCATACTTAAATATGGTTTGTTTATGAGATACAAAAAATATAATTGTTATTTCAAATGGATCGTGTAAAGAGTAACAATGTTTTTAATTAAACTTTAGACATTTAACTGGATACTCACCCAATCTATCCGCAGTTATAAAAAAATAACTATGTATTGTTAAGGTAGTAAAAAGACATTGATTAAACTCGATCCCATTTAAGTGGGATTATGAATTTGAAAATTTTCATTTATATATTGTTTTATTCAAAATAAAATTGTTTTATTTTTAATACAAAAAAACAACTTACATTGCTACAAAAATGGATATTATTTGTGAACCGATACTTTTTACAACAATTTATTATAGATAATCCAAGGGTGCGTGATAAATAATGTAAATAAATAACTCATAATCTTATGAAGGCCTTTCGATATGTATTAGTAATATTTTTTATCTCATACGCTGTCAGATACAAAACAGACGTGACCTGTCCCCAAGCGCAACCCTAAAACGATATTTGTTAAAAGCTTCTCAAGTAATTTATATTTCAGCCATATTTAAATTATGTAACACTTAATACGCATACAGCAAATGTACAGTACAAATTTAAAATGTTTAAAGAGTTGCAATTGTTCTAATACTAAGTACATCACGTACACACATAACTGACGCTAACGCTCTTATCAAGAATAAATATCGTCCTATCGTATAACTATTAAATAACATCATGAAGAATAAGAAGTCAACACATCTTCTAAACCCCTCCTAGTGTAGTGTAAGCGGTGCACG